TTTTCTTCATTTTTTTTTCCTAAAAAAAAAAAAAATGTGGATGTACATGATGGTGAGATTCACTGTGACATATTTATATATGTAAAGTTAGGTAATATTCATTCTACTATTCTTCCCTTATACCATTCCTCTTCTCTCCCCCTGCATCCCCTTCCTCTATTCCACTAATCTTCTAATTTGAAAAAGAAATTAGTGCGCCCCCCTCTTTTCCTTTCTCCCCACTCCCTCTTATTTCGAACTACCTTCTGAAAATCAGAGAAAACATTCCACCTTTTGACTTCCTGGGTCTGGGTATATTTCAGTATTTCACTTAGCATGATAGTCTCCAGTTCCATCCATTTACCTACAAATACTATAATTCTATTCTATTTTATGGCTGAGTAATACTCCATTGTGTATACATACCACATTTTTTTTATTCATTCATCTGTTGAGATGTACCTAGGTTGGTTCCACAGCTTAGCTATTGTGAACTGTGTTGAAATAAACATCAAGGTGATTTTAGATCTTTTGGGTTTCTACTAAGAAGTGGGATAATTGGGTCATATGGTTGGTTCCATTCCTAGTTTTTGAGGAATCAACATACTGCTCTCCACAATCGATGCATTAATTTTCAGTCTCACCAACAATGTATGAATGTACGTTTTACTCCATATCCTCATCACCAATTATTATTATTTTTCTTCTTAATAATTGTCATCCTGATAGAGTAAGATGAAATCTCAATAAAAGATTTTTTAAAGAAATATTTATTTATCTATTTATTCATTTAGGTGTAGATGGACACAACACAATGCCTTTATTTTTATGTGGTGCTGAGGATCGAACCCAGGTCCCGCCTGCACGAGGCGAGCGCTCTACTGCTGAGCCACAATCCCAGCCCTCAATATAAGTTTTGATGTGCATTTTCCTAATTGACAGAGATGCTGAAAAATTTTTCATATATTTATTTGTGGGCCATTTGTATTTCTTCTTTTGAGAAGTGTCTTTTTAGTTCTTTTGCTCATTTTTAACTGGGTTTTATGTGGGGGGTTTTGTTTGTTTGTTTTATTTTGTTTTTCGGTGCTAAGTTTTTCAGTTCTTTATAAATTCTGGATATTAATGCCCTGTCTGAAATGCAGGTGGCAAAGATCTTCTATTCTGTAGGCTCTCTTCATATTCTTAATTGTTTCTTTTACTGTGCAGATGCTTTTTAGTTTGATATTTATATTTGGTTTTATTTCTTGCATTTTCGGAGTCTTATTAATGAAGTTGTTTCCTGTGCCAATATGTTGGAATGTTGGGCCTACATTTCTAGCAATTGCAGAGATTCTGGTCAGTGATTCACTCTGAGTTGACCTTTGTGCAGGGTGAAAGATAAGTGTCAAGTTTCATTCTTCTACATATGGATACCCAGTTTTCCAAGCTCCATTTGTTAACAGGGCTATCTCTTCTACAATGTATGTTTTTCGCAACTTTGTCTAACATCAGGTAATTGTATTTATGTGGGTTTGTCTCTGTGTCTTCTATTCTATTCCATTGGTCTTCAAGTCTGTTTTGGTGCCAATACCATGTATTTGTTATTAGAGCTCTGCAGTATAATTTGAGTCAGGTACTATGATGTCTCCCTCTAGCATCACTCTTTTTGCTCATGATTGTTTTGGCTCTTTTGGATCCTTATTTTTCCAAATAAATTTATAACTGTTTTTTCTAGTTCTGTGAAGAATGTCATTAGTATTTTGAAGGGGACTGCATTGAAACACTTTTGGTAGTACAGCCATTTTGACAATATTAATTCTGCCTATCCAAGAAAAAGGGAGGTATCTCCATCTTCTAAGGTATCCTTCAATGTCTTTTTTCAGTGTTCTGTAGTTTCCATTGCAGAAGTCCTTCACCTCCTGTTGAGAGCCACAGCCAAAGGGGCCCCAGCAAACTTCCAGCTGCCAGCAAGCTTCAGACTGCCAGCTGATGATTGGTTCACAGTGGCCCCAGCAACATCTAGCTGATTGGCTCCTCTGTGGTGATGTTCATTGGGCTGTTTCCCTGCCCTTCAGACTGCCAGCTGATGATTGGCTCACAGCGGCCCCAGCAACATCTAGCTGATTGGCTCCTCCACGGAGCTGCTCATTGGGGGACTTCTTTGGCTCCGCCCACGCGACCCAGCCAATCGGCCTCAAGAGCAGGAGGATTGTGGGAGGTTGAGAGGTTGGTGTGGGGAGAGGCTTGTGGAAGCCGGTGGTAGCAGTTGGGCTCTGAGGGTTTTTTCCCTGGAGCTATTTTGTTTGGCGTTTGTAGTTCTAAAAATAAAGTTAGTTTCTTTTTGACAAGTGGCTCCTGATTTGTGCCAAGCCAGACTTTTTTCAGTGTTCTGTGGTTTCCATTGCAGAAGTCCTTCACCTCCTTCATTAGATTAATTGACAAGTACTTTTTGAGGTTACTGTAAACACTTTTAGTTTTCTTTTCAATAGATTAATTATTAGAGTATAGGAAAGTTATTTACGTATGTTCATCTTATATTCTGCTACTTTGCTAAATTTATCAACTCTAGAAGTCTTCTGGTGAAATCTTTGTGATCTTCTTAAAATATAGAAGTATGTCATCAGCAAATAGAGATAACTTGCCTTTTTCTTTTCCTATTTTATCAGTTTAATTTCCTTCTCTTGACTGATTGCTCTAGTTAAAGTTTCAAGGACTATGTTGAATAGGAGTGGTGAGATTGGGCATCCTTGTCTTGTTTCAGTTTTTACAGAAAATACTTTCAGTTTTTCTTCATTCGGTATGATATTGGCCTTGGGTTTGTCAGATATTCCCTTTACAATGTTGAGGTATATCCCTTCTCTCCCCAGTTTCTCTGATGTTTTAAACATAAATGGGCACTGTACTTTGTAAAATGCTTTTTAGTTTGATAATCTATTGAGATAATCATATGATGCTTGTCCTTATACTCTTTTATGTGATGAACTTCACTTACTGATTTCCATGTGCTGAACGAACCTTGCATCCATGGGATGAAACTTACTTGATCTTGGTGCACTATCTTTTTCAATATGCTTTTATATGTGGTTTGAGAATAGTTTATTAAGAATTTCTGCACTTATGTTAATCAAGGTTATTAACCTGAAGTTTTCTTTCTTGATGTGTCTGTTTGGTTTTGGATGATACTGGCTTCAAAACTTGAGGAGAATATTCTTTGTGAGAGTTAAATTCACAAGAAATGTTTTGCTCAGGTGTAAAGATAGATTTTTTTTTAATTTTCAGAAATGTAAGTTATAATAACATTTATGTTTTGAAAAGAAGCTATGGATATCCCCAAATAAAGGAGTCAACCAAGAATAAAGATAAGAAACCAGTAATTGTTGAAGGAGAAGAAAGGAAAATTCCAACACAGCCAGTTTACGTTAGAATATTCCAGAAAACAATCTTCAAAAAACAAAATAATAAAATAAAAAGAATATCTGCTATATTTAAGATACCAAGTGGATTTTTCAGGTCAGTTCAGCTTAGAATGAATTAGTGATACATATGTAAAACAGGAAGCAACTGAAAAACTTAATAATTTGAAGGAAAATACAAAAGTTATGTATTTATTGATCTGTGTGATGTTTACATGGATGTATTGACTTTGTGAAAAATCACCAAACTATCCATTTATGTTCCAGGCCCTTACTGAATAAGTCTAAATAGTTCAATAGCAAATTTTCTTAAAACAAAAATACCCATTTTCTATTTTTTTTTCCCAGTGATCCAGGCCTAAAAACAATTAAAAAAAAAAAAAAAAACAACAGTTGAGAAAGGCACTGTAACCATGATTCTTTATATTTTTTAAATATTATTTGGGTGTTTATAATAATGTAAACATTATTTGATTAACCCAAAATATAATGAAAGACATTAAATGCCATTCTAAAATGAAGATGCTCTGTGAAAATAAAGATTTTTTTATAAATGAAGACTGTTTTTTTAAGTCGCTTTATATGTAGTTATGTCATGTTATACATGTGCATCAATTTGATTTCAATGGATAACTGTCAGTACAGGATGTGATAAATGTCATATTCAAAATTATATATAAGTATATTTTCATGCTTTAAAAAGTACCAATTAAAAGAAAATGATAGATATTTTATTATAAGATATTATAGATAATCTTTTGTAAAGGAATGTTAATAAGAAATCAGGCTGGATGTGGTGGTGCATACCTGTAATCCCAGTGGCTCAGGAGGCTGAGGCAGGAGGATAGCAAATTCAAAGCTAGCCTCAGCAACTTAACAAGGCCCTAAGCAATTTAGTGAGACCCTGTTTCAAAATAAAAAATATAAAAAAAAGGCTGAGGATATGGCTAAGTTCCCCTGAGTTCCATCCCCAGTACCCCAAAAACAAAACAAAACAAAGAAAAATCACCATAATCAAACCAAGAAAATAATTTTATAAATATGCAATGGATAAGAAAACAAAGCTATAACATGTGTTAACATAAAGGCCTCAGAAAACTTAAATTCACCATAATCTACCTACCTAAAACTCTAATGTAGAAACTGTCTTGTTTTTAACACTGGTTTTAACTTAATTATGCCTATTTTACCAAAATGAGTATATTTTTAACATTACATAGACCAGCTTAACTGTTAAAAATATCATAAGTAGTATGGGCACTTTTAAAGTCTAAAGGTTAATCCTAAAACTTGAAAGTAGAGCAAAAGCACCCTTTATTAAGAAAAATAATATTACATATTAGAATCTTGACACTGAAGTACTAATTTTGGGATAATTGTGTCTCCATCACTGCTTTCTCAGATACTAAATTCAACTAAATGAGATTCATAGAAGCCACCCATTAGGCAAAATAATTCATAAATTATTTCATGTTATTTTTCTAATTTCAGTGATATTTATGTGAAAATTCTTATTAATTTTTCTTATTTTAAAATTAATTTTTAGAAAACTAGGAGAATTTTTGCTGGGAGAGAGGACAGCTATGTCAAGTCAAATTTCTTTTTAACATAATCATTCTTGCTTCTTAGCAGGAAAGGGAAGATGAAAGACCGACTTCAAGAACTAAAGCAAAGAACAAAGGAAATTGAACTTTACAGAGACAATCATGTGTTAAGTTCGGAAACAGAGGAAAAAGGGGTGTTTGTGCAGCAAGCTGTTATTTATGAGAGAGAGCCTGTAGCTGAGAGACACCTACATGAGATCCAAAAACTACAGGAGAATATTAAGAATTTGGCAGATGATGTGCAAAGATTTGGACAGCATCAAAAAAGTCTGATGGCTTCAATGAGAAGGTTTAGCCTCCTTAAGAGAGAGTCTAGCATTACAAAGGAGATAAAAGCCCAAGCAGAACACATTAACAGAGGTTTGGGTGATTTAGTTAAAGAAGTTAAAAAGTCAGAGGTTGAAAATGGTCCATCGTCAGTCATCACAAGGATACTTAAATCTCAGCATGCTGCAATGTTCCGACATTTTCAACAAACTATGTTTATATACAATGACACAATAGCTGCAAAGCAAGAGAAGTGCAAGGCATTTATTTTTCGTCAACTTGAAGTTGCTGAAAAAGAGGTACCTGAAGAAGAGGTAAATGATATGCTTCACCAAGGAAAATGGGAAGTTTTTAATGAAAGCTTACTCACAGAAATCAATATCACTAAAGCACAACTCTCAGAGATTGAACAAAGACATAAGGAACTTGTTAATTTGGAAAACCAAGTGAAGGATTTACGGGATCTTTTCATTCAGATATCTCTTTTAGTAGAGGAACAAGGAGAAAGCATCAATAATATTGAAATGATAGTAAATAGTACAAAAGATTATGTTAATAATACTAAAGAGAAATTTGGACTAGCAGTAAAATACAAAAAAAGAAATCCATGCAGGATACTGTGCTGTTGGTGCTGTCCATGCCGTGGTTCAAAATAAAGAAACTATTTTTAAAATTTTTCCATATTTAAGCTGAAGGATGTATTTCAATGTCTGTTTTTCATTGTTTCATGGATCCACACTTTATCACTGTTAAGTCATAATTTTCCCCTTTAACACCCACTACTATTACAGAGACTCCTGAAGTCAGTGACATAAGTCTTTAAATTTTATTAATCTGAAAACAGTATGAATACCTTCAACTCACAGGTTAACAATAAAAGTTAGATGAATAAATTGAAGTTTCTGATCATGTACTAAATTCTACTACACATTTTTCCTAACTTCTAATGCTTTAACAAGATGAATGTTCAATTAAGTGATGACCATGTAAGCAATACATTTGGCTATTTGAGACTATTTGGTAATTGAGAATTATATAAAACATGACATCAGAGGATGCTACAATAAAGCAAAATCAAGTAGATTTCATATCAAATTTGGTGGTAGAAAAAAATGAGAGAATTCCTGTGTGACATTTTCCATTTCCTTAAAGAACTATAAGGCAAAATTGTCAAATGAAAGCTCAGTAGGTTTAAGGAATAACAGAAAGAAAGCAATAAGGAATAAAATAGTCATTTGGGATGGGAGGATAACAATCATTTTATAAAAGGTAGTAGAATAACCAGGCAGCATTTAGGGCTCAACTAAATGTATGGTCACAACTTTAATGTGATATCACCCAGTGCAGTCATGTTTTTAACCTACTGATGTTTTTAGCTGCTTGGGTACCAGCATAGAATGTAAAGATAATGGATCTATTTAATATGGCAGCTTTTCCAGATGTGTATAATGGAGGGAAAATGTGTTATGGTAGCTTAAGGTACTTGAAAAGGCAGAATTTATACATTTATCATAAATATCATAAATCATTTAAAAATTATAAAGAAATTGAAGCACTTTCTACTATGTCAAATGTCAAGCATCATTGTAGAAAGATGTATCATATCTCAGCTCAAATGTTTAAGAAATATTATAAAAAGAATAATTTAAAACAGGTAACAAACTCTACAGGTAATAGTTAAAGCTAATATATCTTCTGCTCCTGTTAAACTTGCATTCCGAGCTTTCATGACATTTGTTTCTAAGTGTTCCTGGGCTAGGGTTGTGGCTCAGAGATGAGCGCTTGCCTAGCAACTGTGAGGCACTGGGTTTGATTCTCAGCACCACATAAAAATAAATAAATAAAGGTCCATTGATAACTGATACACACACACACACACACACACACACACACACAAACAAACAAAATAATTATTTCTAAACTGTTTATCATGAAAATTGAGAATATTTAGTACTATTTAATATTCAACAGTATTAGATTCACAAATGTTTTTTTTTCTGTTAGCACTGTATATTTGAACACAGTGCCTTTATAGCAAGAGTTAAATACAGCAATTTTCATCACAAAGCAATGTGTCATATATAGTTTTTCCTTCTGTATTTTAAAACTATTACTATTATCCTAACCTAAGCAACAGAAACAATGATACTTAATTAGTTGTCAAACATTTTGTATATTTTATTTTTATACTTAATAGGCACTACAAGTAGTAATTTTTTCTTAATGTAACTATCTGAAAGGGATAAAATTCCTTGAAGGGGTTGAAGGCACAATGTTAGGAATCTATTGGTTCTGTAAGTATGAGAAGATCAAAATAATTAATAAAAATTATTATGATCATAGGACTTATATTCATAATCACTAAACTATGCCATTTTCTGTGATCATAAGTTTTGTGTAGCTTAAATTCATATAACACTTTAAAAACAGCTCTCTCTTGAAGCCCAACATCAAGGTGAGGGACAGACAATCTGCACGGGTACTACAAGAATACAGGGAAGAAACTGTAATATCTCAGATCCACACTGCAAGAAAGAAAGACACTGTAAATGTCCTTCTTTCACAGCAAGTGCTTTTGAGCTCCTTTAGAGAGTCTTAAAAGGAACTACAGCGTGCATGGTGACAGGCTGATTTTGCTCCTTAACCTGATCAAAGACTGGAAAAAGCTAAAAACCTGTAAAGTCCTCCACCTACTTCCAGTGCTATTCTAAGGCCACACACAGACAACATGAAAAAACAAGGGAGGAAGGTGCCCCAAACAAACCAGGATATACTGTAATAACAGAATCCATGGACAGTGAAGTTGATGAAATGTCAGAGAAGGAGTTCAGAAGGTTCATAACTAAAATGATCTGTGAATTAAAGAATGACCTAAGACCTAAATGAGCAAATATAGGCAAAAATTGATCACTCCAACAAAGAGATAAGAGAGAAAATACAGATAGCAAAAGATTACTTCAAGAAAAAGAGACTCTGAAAAAAAAACAAAAACAGAAATCCTTGAAATGAAGGATACAATCTCAGCACCACATACAAATAAATAAATAAATAAATAAAGGTCCATCAATAAGTAATAAAAATATTTTTAAAAAACTCAATAAAGCATAACCAACAGACTAGATCACTTGGAAGAAAGAACGTCAGAAAATGAAGACAAAGCAATCGATGTGGAAATTAAAGTTGATCACACAGTGAAGATAGTAAAAACAATGTAATGATGCAATTTAAAGAATTAGAAAAGCAAGAACAACCCAAAACCACAGTCAGTAGAAGGAAAGAAACAAAAAATATCAGAGCAAAGACAAACGAAATACAAAGCAAAAAAAAAAAAAAAAAGACAAAAAATTGGCAAACTTCTAGACTAAGAAAAAGTGACCCAAATAAGTAAAATCAGAGATGAAAAAGAAGCGATTACAACTGATACCACAGATAAACAGAAGATCATTAGGGACTATTATGAACCACCATCCACTAACAAACTGGAAAACTTTAAAGAAGTGAATAAATTTCCAGACACATATAACTTACCAAAATTGAACCATGAAGACATGGAAATCTGAACAGGCATTAACAAATAAAACAGTGAAATCTGTAATTAACGTCTTCCCATAAAGAAAAAAAACAAGGATCAAATGGCTTCACTGCTTAATTTTATGACATTTTTAAAGGTACTAACATCATTTCTTCTCAAATCATTCTAAAGTATTCAAAGGGAGGAAATTAACCTGATACCAGATGAGGAAAAATTCACAACATAAATAAGAGAAAAAAAAAAAGAGAAAAAGAAAAGTATAGACCAATATCCCTGATAAAGCCAGATGTAGAAATTCTCAATAAAATACTAGTAATACAAATCCAAAATCACACAAAAAATTCTACACCACAATTTAGTGGAATTTATTTGAGAGATACAAAGATGGTTGGATATATGCAAATCAATAAACACATCACATTCACTAATGAAGGTCAAAAGTCATATGATGATCTCAATAGATGCACAAAAAGCATTCAATAAGATTCAATAAACCTCATAAACCTCTCAAAAAATTAAGCATGGGCCAGGTGTGGTGGTGCATGCCTGTAATCCAGTCATTGGGAGGCCGAGGCAGGAGGATCATAAGTTCAAGGCCAGCCTCAGCAACTTAGTGAAGCCCTAAGCAACTTAGTGAGACCCTGTTTCAAAATTAAAAATTAAAAAAGGGCTGGGAATGTGGCTTGGTGGTTAAATGCTCCTCGGTTCAATACCTGGTACAAAAAAAACAAAATAAAAAAAATTATGCATGGTAGGAATATATCTCAACACAATAAAGGCTATATATTAAAAACTTATAGACCTCTGTTCTGACTGTACCGGATGCTACACCTGTGTGGATCCTTGATGCTCAGCTCCCCGTCTACCAACACATGGCTCCTCTGGCCACCTCCAACCTGGGACACTGCAACTGCTGCATTAGGCCCCTCAACCTGGTAGCCTCCATCTTGGGACACTGGAAGGGCCTGAAGGCAGCAGCCTGCCACAGCACCACCAGCCGTAATGCTACATCTCCAAACAGGCTGCCCAATGCCGTGGCACAAGCCCACCATTACTGCCCCATCTCTAAGCAGTCGCCTCCATCTTGGTACACCACCACCATCTTGGGTTGCCTCGGCTGCCACCGTTGCCATCTTTAGTTGGGGAAGCTTCCATCTTTGGACACTAGCAGGAGCCTGGAAGCCCAACATCAAGGTACCTGCAGGTTAGCCACCTCCCCTATTACCACCAACTAGAACCATGGTTTCTTCCATCCAGAAACAACAACCAGGGCCTCATAGACCATCATCAAGGTCTATGAGGCTTGGTTACACTTGAAGTCTCCCTGCTAGGTGCCCTGATAGCTACCATCTTCCTGCAGAGGCAGGAGAGACCTTTGCATGGAGTCAGTAGGTTAGAAGAAGGTATGAAGGCTCAGTGCCAACCAGATTCCCTGGGCCAACTCAGGCAGCACTTGCTGAGACGTGATACCAGTCCGGTCCCCAACTCCCTCCATATACCATCATCCAATGATCACTATTCCTGCCAGTTTGGCAATCAACAGGGACTTTTGGCTCCCCAATCCCCAGTCTTCCAACATCACCCCCTAGCAACCAACCCATCTCAGCACTTGCAGCTATGTGGCTGGCCTGCAGCTCTCAATGCCTGGTCCTGATCTTTCAGATACAGAACAGCTTTCCACAACAGGGACACAGCCTCAGGACCTCTGGAGAGAGGTTCCTGATTGGGTAGTCAAAACGTCAGGGGCAAGAGAGAGACAATTTAAAGACTAAATTAGAGACCAGGAATTGTAGAGTCCTCAGGCAAGACCAGGCTCCCACATCACACTGCTACACCTTGCCTCTAGGATTTCCATTTTTAAGACTAACCCTCACACCCTAGTAATATACACCATCCTGAGGGTGGAGATAACAGCAAAATGCAGACAACACCACCTATCAGATGAGAAGGGAAGCAGGGAACTCAAACAGAAACAATCATTCAATTTTCCTTTGAGATTTATTTTTTTTCCTTTCTTGTCCTACCCTCACATCCCTAACTTTTGTGAAACTAAGTACTTTTCATGCATCAGGCTACTGAGGACTGGGATGTCTGAATAGTATATTACAGTTTTGTTGTATTTTTTTTTAAATTTAT